AGGTCAGCTAAGGAGAGTAATTGATACTAGTGACAAATTGCAATTGACACAACTCTTGGAATCAACTTGCAGATTTGAACGCATCTTAGCTGATTCACTTCTTGCTGCTAAATATGTTGCAAGGCTAAATGCGGGAAGAAGGTTTTGCCATGTTCTCGTTTTTGCCAATGGAAAGTACCATCTGGGATGAAAAGCGATAAATAAATAACAATGTTTTTTTTCTATTTACACTATTATCCAAAGCAGCAGCAGATGGTATTTACTGGCTTGGCATATTTTTAGGCTTAATTGTTCTCTCCTTTCTACTAATTTGTGTTGCATACAAAGATACCCAATAGCCATTGTTACTAATGTCCTCTTATTTGAATTTCCTTTCCTCTTCCTTTTCTTTTTCTTTCTTTTCCTTTCCCTCCTTCCTTTCCCATTTTTATTAGTATTGCATCTTGTTTTGTTTACACACACACATACACACACACACACACACACACACACAAAGGAATTCTGTGGAAGGTTGGAAAGACGGACCCATTTCTTCTGATCCAATCGAAATATCAAATACATAATTATGAATTATAAGAAAAAGTGAAGCCTGTAACCATTTAACCAAAATGTATAAACCATGCAGAACAAATTGTTTGTGATATCAAATTTGTGCGCCAAAATGATTTAGTGAACCAAATAGTTAATATTTATGAAAGAAGAAGCGCTATTAATAAGTCTGATTAAAGAAACTGAAATTCTTAACATTCTGGCAAGAGTAACAATGCATCTGACTTTGCTTTCATTCGCATTTCTGAATCAATAGCTTTTATCATTTATCATCATGGATCAATCAACTCTGCACCATTCACATACAAGGTCAGTTTAAATTAATATGTGTCAAGTTCCTTTCTTTTACATAAATATTTTCCAGTACTTAAATGCCAGGGAAAAACATCCTGTTAGCAAATGGCAATCCTTAAGACTTCTGCCCAGACTTTTATTAATGCTCTTTAAAGATATGAAGAATTGGGTGATGGGTCTTTGATACAGAAGCATAGACTCTGCTGGAACTCAATTCTTGCCATAATTTAATTAAGCATTGAAAGAGAACTTTGCAAGCGATACATTGAAAATTAGCCTGGAAGTGATAATACATTTACAAGAAACTGTGATGTCTCTGTAAGGTTGACTCAGCCTTTCATCCTTCTGAGGTGCATAAAATGAGGACCCAGATTGTTGGAGGCAATTATGCTGACTCTGTAAACTGCTTAGAGAGGGCTGTAAAAGCACTATGATATGGTATATAAGTAAATGCTATTGCCCTTCCTTCCTTCCTTCCTTTCTTTCTTCCTTCCTTCCTTCCTTCCATGGTGCACAGTGGTTAGAATCTGCCAACTGCCAGCAGTTCGATCCTCCCTGGCTCAAGGTTGACTCAGCCTTCCATCCTTCCGAGGTGGGTAAAATGAGGACCCAGATTGTTGGCAGCAATGTGCTGACTCTGTAAACTGCTTAGAGAGGGCTGTAAAAGCACTGTGAAGTGGTATATAAGTTTAAGTGCTATTGTTATTGTTAAAGGCCCAAATGGAAACCTTACAGCTACATGCGAAGTTCTCCCCTGCCATCAATGCCCTCAGCATTGCCAACTTGGCTCTTTAGTAGGAAAGGTAAAAGAAAGATCTTCAGAATCACCTAGACAGGGACGCCCACCCATTCAATGGTAATTAGGATGTTTTTCCAGACCCCTCTTTTTCATTAAAGCACTGCGTCCGCAAATCCAGTGTCCAGCTGACCTTTTGGCTTTTTATTGTTGTTATTATTATTACTTCATCTGGCCTCCAAACTGAGCTATGATTTGGAGAGCCTTAAATATTTTCCTTCCCAGAATTTTTTCTTAGCTGAAAAGCCCACTAAAAAGGAGATAGAGAAGGGCTAATGACAGCAACAGGAGTAGAAATGTAATATTGGGCCAATGCTTACCTTGAACATGTGGGATAAACTAGGATCTCCCAAAATACAAAGGCAAACAAAGGATTTGAGTGTATTAATCTTTCTATGGAAGGTTGATTTAAGAAACATATATGCACCTCATGTATGTATTTACGTATGTATATGTATATGTGTTTATCTGTTTAATTGCCGTATTTTTCAGACTATAAGATGCACCGGAGTATAAGACGCACCAATATTTTGAAGAGATAATTTTTTTTAAAGGTTTTTGCACTCTGTAGGCCTCTCAAACTTTCTGCACCCCCCCCCCCGTTTTTGTGAAAAGCAGGGCATGCACAGAGTTTGAGAGGACTGCAAAGTGCTCCTGGGGGCTGAGGGGGCAAAAATGAGCAAACAATGGCTCATTTTTCATTCGTTTTTACCTTCTCCAGCCCCCAGGAGCACTTTGCAAGCTCCCCAAGCCCTCTGCTTTTTTCTGAAAAACGGGATGTGCGGGGGCAAGAGTTTCAGGAAATACAACCAAAAATGCTGTATTCAGTGTATAACACGCACCCAGATTTTCGCCTTCCTTTTTTTGTTGAAAAAGGTGCTTCTTATACTCAAAAAAATATGGTAAAATAAATTATTTTTTGTTAGGATGGAATTGAGCTTTCACAATATATACTTTTTCCTAAAGCCACCAGTATTTATTTGACCCAAAATAAACTTAGTTACTATTTTCCTCTAAAGTAGGAGTATCGAACTTAATTTCATTGAGGACCACATCAGGGTTGTGTTTGACCTCTGGTGGCCAGGGTGGGCATGGCCAGCTTGGCATCATTCATGACAGGGGCACCTGTGGTGGCCTGAGTGCTCTGCCAGTGAAAACGGGCTCCTGAGCTCCATTTTCAGCTGCAACGGGGTGCTGTAACCCTCTGCTAGCAAAAACAGAGCTAGGGAGGGCCAATCCTTTGCTGTTTCCGGTGTGGCCCCACAGGCCAGATCTAAGCACCCTGTGGGCCGGATCCATCCCACAAGCCTTCAGTTTGACACCCCTGTCCTAAACTAGGATAGATCTTATGTTCTCAAATAATGCCTGAACTCAGACTCTTTTGGCAGATTCACCAATATGCCGCATCACATTCAAAGGCTTTCAGGGACCTTTAATGATGACAACCTGAGGGCATGCATTAAGTGAACGTTTTCTTACCACCGCCATAATCTCTGTCAATGTGCATGCTGGTTGAGGCAGATGAAGAGGCTGGTTCCTCTGAAGCCACCAGCTGAGGACTGTCTTCCTAGTTTAGCAAAAATGCAGAAGAGAGGTCAGTTGCAGAACTGCAGGACAAGTTCCATTTCTTTTTGCCCTGGTGGAGATATTCCATTTTTGGAAGGGCTAAGGGGTAGTTTTCATTTCCAGAACAAAACAAGCAGATTGTCATCCCTTTCTACAGGCAAGTCCAAGAAGGCAAGGTTAGTTATCTGCTTGGGATCTCTCTAACTCTCATATCCCAGGTTTCACACAGAACGTATTATTCCATCAAAATACTTTTGAACAAAAATCTTGCCTTCTTCATCTATCAAGTGTGGAGACTCATGGAGGTGACCTTGAGGAAGCCATCCAGAAGCCATTAGTACTACATCATAGAGTTTACCACAGGGTTCTTGGGAGGCCCTGAATTAGGCATCTGCCTGTTTATCATCCCTTCAAAAGAAATCCAGATACTAAAGAATTCAACATAGACTGAGTGAACAGTGTTTTCCACAAAAGTGTAATCTCGTGGATTGGTTATTCCACAAAGAAAGGGTTACGGTAAAGGTAAAGGTACAAGTTCTCCTCACAGTTATGTGCTAGTTGTTCCCGACTCTAGGGGGCAGTGCTCATCTCCATTTCAAAGCCGAAGGGCCAGCGCTGTCCAAAGACGTCTCCGTGGTCATGTGGCTGGCATGACCCAATGCCAAAGGCGCACGGAACGCTGTTACCTTCCCACCAAAGTTGTCCCTATTTTTCTACTTGCATTTTTACATGCTTTCGAACTTAGGTTGGCAGAAGCTGGGACAAGTAACAGGAGCTCACTCCATTATGCAGTGCTAGGGATTTGAACCACTGAACTGCCAACCTTTCTGATAGACAAGCTCAGTGTCTTAGCCACTGAGCCACCACATCCCTATAAAGAAAGGGTTAGCTCCCATCAATCCCAAGGAAATAAGGAGAAGCAAATTCAGAAACTAACAGTAAAAGAATGGAAATAGGTGCTGTGTGTAAGTTCTCCATTCAGAGAAAATACATTCCTTTATTAGATTCACTTCCTGCATCTGTCTGATCCATAATTCACTTCTGATTATGACTATGGATTATGGAAAAAAAGTAGCCAGAAGAATATGTGATTAGAAACAAGGGTGGCTTTAGCAATACTAATACAGTAAAGTTCCAGTTTTTGAAAATTTAACAGCTTTGAGTATTTTTTTACCCTGGTAAAAAAAAATGAGAACATTGAAATAACAACAACAACAACAACAACACCCTGGAGTTAACAGTTGTCAATAAAAAAGACAAAAGAAGTCTGGATAGTGGATGTGGCAGTGCCTGGAGACAGCAGAAAAGAAGAGAAAGAACTAGAGAAGATAACAAAATGCAAAGGCCTACAAATAGAAATAGAGCGACTATGGCAAAGGCAAGCAAGGGTAGTACCAATAGTAATAGGCACCTTGGGTGGAGTCCCAAAACAATTGGAGCACCACTTGAATGCCATGGGCATTGACAAATTTGCCATCACTCAATTGCAGAAGGCAGCTTTACTTGGAACTGCTTCCAATCTGCAACAATATCTGTAACACCATCAAACATCCAGATCTGCTTATCCCAGGTCCTTGGCATGTAAAGGACTCAATAGGTAGACAAAAATGCCAAGCCCTAACCCTAACCCCAGTTGTTTTTTTGCTTCTGTGCATGCACAGAACAATTTTAGTTGTACGCACGCGCACACATTGTGCATCAAGCGTCCGTGCATGCATGGCACACCCTGAGCAAACTGGCAGTAGTCTCTGCCAGAACCCACCCCTGTGTAGCATCTTATGCTACTTTTAGAGTCAATTCTGAATTATTTGATAGAATAGATTTAAAAGGATGTTGTATCATGAGGAGTCCCATCCTGGCTCAAACACCCTCCCTCTTCAGTAAGGAGAAAATGAGTATGACATGTGGATATAATAAATATGAAGAAAGGGATTTTTAACTGCAGAATATTCTGGAGCTCTCAAGGGAAATCATCAGAATCTTATTCACAGGCCACATAGCCTTTATGTGTCTTTATTTCATAGTTCTACCTAGCCAAGCATAGAAAGTCCTCAGAGTTAGATGCAATCAGTCTAAGATTCTCAGAGTTTGTTTCAAGAAAAATATCAAAAATTTCTGTAGGAGAGACCAGGCTTAGCCTGAAGGAGGGGTCAAACGCATCATTAGTCTTGAGTTCTTTTGCACCTTCAAGAGTCCAGCACAGTTAATTCCAGGGGTGGGATTCAGCAGGCTTGGACTGTTCAGGTTTACCGGATGCTAATTTGACATCTAGTTCGTTGAACTGGTAGTTGCAAGGACTGGCTAGCCCTGCCCACCCTGCTCTGCCAGTCCCAGGAGTTTCCATGCGGTCCATTTTGGATGCAGGTAAGTGCAGGGCCCGCCACGCAGAGGCTCTGGGAGGGCAAAAGATGGCCCTCCCGGAAGTTCTGAAAGTCAGGAAATGGGCTCATTTCTGGCCTCCAGAGCCCAGGGGGTGTCATTTTTGCCCTTCCAGAGGCTCGAGGAAAGCCTCCAAAGCACAGGAAGGGTGAAAACGCCCTTTGCCCCACCCGCTGTGGTGCAGGAGGCCAAGTAGGCCATGCCCACCATCACCACGCCCACCCAGCAACCAGGCAGAGAACTAATTGCTAAAAATTTTGAATCCTACCCCTAGTTAATTCCATTAACTCTTATCTACTGCTCATTTGCCTTGACCGTGAATAGTTCAGATTCTGGTAGGAAACTAACATAAAATAAATCTGTACTCTTGACTCCCAATTTCTCGCATGGCTTCCACTTTTTAAGTCAAGAGACATGGGCTTGATCGTTGATGCCCCCTCCAAAATTTCAATCACTTAAGAACCATTTCCCTTTCAGCAGTTATAAATCTACTTGGGTGTTTTCATGTAGTTGTCCACCATTTGAACGAAGTCTACAAAACAAGTACAGGCAAATAACCTCACAGTTCATGCAAAATGCAGAATGTTTTTGTTTTCCTTGGCACAGTCCTAAAGTTACCATGGGACATACAGTGGATTTTCTTCTCAAGCCCTAAGTTCAAGAAGAATATTTGCAGCGTCATGGGGAAGAGTTTGGAGAGGAGCAAAGAAGGAGGGTTTATCCAAAGGGAACATTCAATCTGCAGCCCTCGTAATCTAAACTCATTTATCTTTGCTGTCATGAACAGCAAATTTTATCACAATAGAATTTTTATTATACAATGTGTGTTTCCCACAAAACTCTGTAGATATATTTTTATAAGCTTAGTGAGCCAATACATATCATTTATTGTCTCCACTGAGATATTTCCTCAATGATCTTCAGTTGGTTCTTTCCTATTCAATTAAGGCAGGAAAAAATTCTTTCTTGGAAAACAATTTTCCACATTTATCTTGCTGTTCTGTCAGCCAGAAAGGCTGATAATCATCTCTTCCAGTTTTGCACATCCTTTCGCCCTTCTCTAAAATTCACAAAACATTCCTTAGGCATCCCATAATATCTTAAGAGGCTGAAAACATTTCAGTCTTCAAAAGCATTTCAATATTCAATATTCAGAACAGAATGAAAACCCATCTATGGTCAAGCTAGAAACTCATGAATTAGGCAGCTTAGTCAAGTACATGATTTATACAACACACAAATACACACCCCAAAAAGGGGACCATCAATTTGGCACCCAGAGATAGTCAAACCACGATACAACCTTGCCCAATTGCACAAAAGTCAACCCATCTACCTTTTCCAGACTGTTATGACAGCATTTGCATTCATCATGTCTTATATTTATCTAAAACTATATTTCTGATATTTTTGACTCAGTACAATCTGAAAAAAAAGCTTTTGCTTATTTGTCTATTAGTTTTACAGATTCCTCTATTATTCAGCATGAGACATGTGTAACAAACCAGCATTTTGGCTTACAGATCTTTGATTTGCCCAATTTTAGCTTTTTTAACTAGAAGAAACTCAACTAAAGGTTTAAGGTCTCTGTCTGCTTCCTACCAGTAATTACTTACTTTCTTCTACAAGTGCTTTTATGTCACTTTAGGAGGGGGGAATGAGCAGCTTAGAAAAGTGATCTATGAGAGGAGGAGAGAATGAAAGGAAGATGGGGAAAAGAAGAGGTGAGGAGAGGAGGATGGAAGGGAGAGGAAGAGAAGGAGAGAGGGTAGGAAGGGGAAGAGGAAGAGTAGGAGAAAGGGAAGGGAAGAAGGAAGGGGAAGGAGTGGAGGAAGGAAGAAAGTAGAGAAGGGTGGGAGAGAGAAAAGAAAGGGAAAACAAGGTGGTATTACAACAGGCAGAAGGGATGGTAAATAAAGCAACCCAAACTCTATATCATAACCTATTAAATAAAATAATAAATGTATAAGAATGATAAATGTAAAGAAGAAAAACAATTATGTGAATGCATAGTTAAAATGATATGCAAGAGAACAAAAAATAAAATAAAATTCTGGAGAAAAAAGAAAAGTGATCTATAATACATTACACAGTACATACAATATGACGTTAGCAAATAATATCATAAAATCATAAAACCCCAATAACTATAGCAGCATGACTGTGCCACATACATGAGTGGTATGCACAGCTGGCTGGGGAATTCTGGGAGTTGAAGTCCACACTTCAGAAAGACTGACGAACATCATCGTCATTTGTGTCCCGCTATCTTGGACAGAATCCCAGCCCAGGAAGATCATTCCCTCCTTCGTTCCTCTTATTAGCTGAAAGAAGATGCTGATACCATCTTAGGCCAAGCATCTTTGGGCTTCTGATGGACTTACCTCAGTGAGCCTTTGCAGGTGCTCGGCAGCATCATTTGATGAAATGAATGCACTTTGATCTGTCCTGCAAAATGGGATGTGGAGAAACAGAATCACAGACCCTTCAGCTCGCCAGCATCACTGGAGTGAAACACCATCAAATGAACCTATTTCTGGATTTTTGCATTAACTCATTAAAAGCAGAAGTAGGAGACAGAGGGATCTATTCAAAACAATCTCAATAAAGTTTATAGAAATGTGTTCACTGTAATTATACCGTATGTTATTAGTCTAATCTTAACAAAGCTCTTACTCTATAGTAATGTCATATAGGAACTTAAGAATGAGGTAGGGAGATGTTTCCCTTAATTAAAAGCAGTAGGCCAATACTTTCCAAAAGAAATGCAAGGTTTGTGAACATCAATGTTTCAGTGAACACCAAATGAAAACTAAAAACTGCACTTTGGATTAGACGCCTCCACCAGCTAAAATTTGACCACCCGATCGGCTTTGTGATTTCTTAATCCTCATTATCTATCATGAATTAGAGTCCATGTTTCTTTCTTTTCCAGCTTTCATATTTTTGTGTGAAAACCTACCAAGAACTTCACCTCATCTGATCTCTATTTCTTTCTTTCTTTCTTTCTTTCTATCTATCATCTATCTATCTATCTATCTATCTATCTATCTATCTATCTATCTATCTATCT